TGGGAATTTCGAAGATTAAACTTTAATGCATTATCTCTTTGCTAGGTCCAGGTTTAAGATTCATACATTAATCATACCCTTCAAAGTAACACTACTACCAACTTTTAGTCTGTTACTCCACCCACATTCTGCCTCCCTATTTCTTTAACTCCTCAACTAACCGTTAGCCAATCTTGGCATAACAACATAGCAATAGGATTGGCAGCAACCAACCCCTTCCCCTGCAACTTTTTTGTGGGATCAAGACATACAACAGAAGGATTTTAAAACCTACAATTTTCTGAATAAAAATCAAGCAATAAATATAGCATATTTCACTAGTTCTAAAAATAAATGAAGAGAGTAAATTATGTCCAAAACAGAACAATAGATTAATGGTGGCAAAATGTGCAAATTAATAAATTGAAAATTGGGGAAAAATTAGGGAAACAAGTAAAGACATGAGAGGACATACCTAAGCATTGACCTTGTAGAACTGGAGGACGGCAAGCCTGACCTTCTTCTTCTTGTGCTTGATCTTCTTGGGCTTGGTATAGGCCTTCTTCTTGCTCTTCTTGGCACCACCATGGAGGCGGAGGATGAGGTGGAGGGTGGACTCCTTCTGGATGTTCTAGTCGGCTAGGGTGCAGCCATCCTCCAGCTACTTGTCGGTGAAGATGAGGCACTGCTGGTCTGGGAGGATGCCCTCCTTGTCCTGGATTTTGGCCTTGACATTATCGATGGTGTCAGAAGACTCCACCTCAAGGGTGATGGTATTCCTTATCAGGGTTTGCAGGTCAATTTCGAAACCAAGCCCTCAGTTTCGAGCTTTTCTGGGTGTTTTTCAATCGATTTCAACCTGAGTTGGATGACGAAGTTGTGGCGCTGGCGGAAGGAAGGCACTATCGAGAGTCCGAGAGGGCGATCGCGGCGGTAATTCGGGGATAATTGAGGCTTCCATGGCTGCCGGACTTGGTGATGGTTGAACTGAACTTGGCCACAGAGGTCGTAACTCGCCGGCGGGTAACGCCGGTGCCCACAAGACGAAACAGACGATGGACGTTGCATTGTGCGGGTAAAAAAAGGGCATTGGAAAAATGCCAAAAACCCTGGAAATGAGTTTGGGACTGAGAGAAAGTAGCTTGTAGCGACCGAGAGTGAAGAAGAAGTGTAACAAAAAAAGTGGAACTGCACCTAATACTCTCTATTTCCTTTCCTTAATTTGCGTTAAAATTTTCTTTACAATGAAAATTCTCAAGTTAGTTTCCTTAGGATTTCAAGTAATTCATAAATATTTTAGTTTAAAATTTAAATCTCTTTTTTCCTTCAATTACATTGGATTTTTTAGCCTCAAGACAATCCAAGTCAATTTTTAGCCTTCAATTTTTATTTAAATATTACTAATGTATTTCTAATCACTACTTCTTAACATATTTATCAAAAAATCATAATGGATGAAAATTTTTGCTAAATTCAAAGAACTAGTAAATATACTTTTTCTCAAGTTGTAATAGTTTATATAGTTGTTCTAACTAAAAACTTTCATTAATTTTTTCCAATTAAAAACCTATTGAGTAACTATGACTAGTTTTAATAAATCATCAAATTTTAAAAAAATTAAATTAATATTTGAGTAACTATGACTAGTTTAATAAATCATTAAATTTTAAAAAATTAAATAAATATTGAGGCTCACAATTAAATAAATGAATTGGAGATGTTCAAGTTAGTGATGATACTATGTTGTCACTAATTACGTTATAGTTTTACTGACAAAAATTGGTCATCAATAAATATAAACAGTGACAACAATGAAAAGTTGTCAAAGAAAGAGGTAGAATTACTGACAACTTTTATCAAGTTGTCACTATTGCAAAACTCGCGCCTCCCAAGTCCCAGGCGAAGTCATTTTGTGATGACAATTAATGGTTGTCACTGAAAAGTTAGCTGCTTTGAGTCAATTGTGACAACCTTCAATGTCGTGACTAAACAACCTCATTTTGTGACGACTTTTTGTTGTCACTAGGAAATGTTGTCACTAATGACCTTTTTTCTTGTAGTGAATGTAGTTGTTCATTGCTTCACTCTAAAGTCTAAGAAGTTGCATACATGGTTTTACATTGGTGCTTAAAAGAATTCCAACTAACTTAGCCTTTTGTTATGAATCTCCTATCACCAGAAAAGGCATCATTTAGTTGGTACAATCTTGCAGTAGATTAACATGAGTTCATCAAATTGATTTTACAATTTGAATGAAAATAAATATAGTTAATAGTGTGAGGTTTATGATGATCAGCACATTCCCTAAGGCTCTTGGTTTCAAAAATTGCTTTGGCTCTTGCATTGGCCCTCAACTTGCTTGACTGGAATGCCACCTTTTTCTGCTATTAACTTGTCCTCTCTTTGCATTGAGATTGCTTCTTCTGCTATTTACTTTTTCTTCTTCACCTCCATCATACCATTCAAAATACCTGCACTTTGCACAACAGAAATGCAATTTGTCCAGATTCTTTTCACTCTATGATATCATCATGGTTGCCTTGCGATTACAGCAGCAAAACCTGTTTTTAATGGAGAAAGATGAGGGTGAATTCTATGATTCTCCTTTATGGCTTGAAGAGGCCATGGTTTCAGATAAAACTTTTAACTCTCAGCTCTAAATAAGCAAATTAAATTTGTTATCACTCCAAAACTTGCAGCAAAGAATGATAATAACTTGAGGGTGTAGAGGTAGTTAAGTTGCTTTATATACTACTGCTACTGAAACAAAAATTTGGCTGTTGCAATTTGCATCTAGCCATTGCAATTGCTGTCAAATAACTATTGCAAGACAAATCTAATGCTTACAAGTTTTTGTATTGCACTTCACCCCCTCATCATTCTAATCATTTAATTTTCTTTCAATCTTCTACTAATACAAGGAGCAAAAGGGCGTCCATGGAATAAAAATACCTTCTCACACATGAAAATTATATTGTAATATGATTTGGACTGCATTGTTACCAAAAACTGAAAAACAAAGAAGGTCAGTGAAATTTAAGAATCTCAGGAGATGTCAGTGAAAGTGTCAGGGATAATTTTAGAAACCTCCCTATCAGGGAAATTTTAGAAACCTCATCCCTTCTTTATACCAATAAACTTTTATAGGAAAATGAATAGAATACTAACTCAAACAAATAACATGTGACACCAAAACAAAACAATTTATTGAACGTCTCCAACAGAATACAATATTTTCTTTTTTCAAAGTACCAAGGTGGGGACTATAGTATACATTACTGCCTAGATGTGTCTATGAATATATATATATATATTTTTTCTTTTCTTTGGCTGAAAGATTACAGAATACAATATTTTCTTTTTTCAAGGTACCAAAGTGGGGACTATAGTGTACATTACTGCCTAGATATGTCTATGAATATATATATATATTTTTCTTTTCTTTAACTGAAAGATTACAGAGTCAGATTGGCGGAAAGTTCAGCATCTATGTTTTAGGTATAGAGGTCAAAATAATGCGGGTTGTGAGTTGTGACATAATCTTGGGGCTGTCAGCTGTGCCACCACAATAAATCCGCCACTGGTTGGAGCCTTCTTTTAAGCATGCGGTGTATTTGAAAAGGAAAGACTTGGACCTTTCTATGTTTCACAACAATTGCACAGATAGATACTAGATAAAACAGCCCTTCCTTTTTGAAAATTGACCAAGTCCTCGTCAGTAGTTGATTCTTCCTATATTCCAGAACTTGGAATACTCAATACTCATTTGTTGGTTTATTTATTTGGTGGAAAGACTTGGAATTAAAACTTCCAATTACAATCTAATGGCAGTATTTTATTAATAGAAGGAATCGTATTGTGTTTACTTCAATTAAAAACATTCTTCAAGGATCACAAAAAGCCAAGACAAAGTAATAGCTTCAATTTCTCCTTACAAGTAGAGGGAGTGAATTAGATTTTAGGTTCTCCTTTGGTTAGGGGCAAGACTTGTATATGCAGGAAATTATCATTTTTCGAGTAAATGTATGCTTTTTTTGTTTTGACGCCATGATGTGTCGGATACCAACTCCTCGTAAAAATATTTTTTTAATCAAGTTTAATTTTTTTTTTTGTTACTAGTTTTAAGAAAAAACTCGAAATGTATGAAACATAATAAGGAAGTTATGTATTCACTAAAAGTGCAACTTCGCTCTTCCATGTAGTATCAAATTTTGGAAAGCAATCACATTTCTGTGTGCAGATTGAAAGTACATAAATAACAACCACATCAATTAACAGCTACACCAATTCAGCTGGTGGTAAAAGAAACTACCAAGAAGTTTCCAAAATCCGTAAACAACTTGCCTATGCAGCGATATAAATTGAACATTACCCATGAAGATGACCAAGACAAATAGAGTTAATTAAGCTTCAGAATGGCGAATTTGTGTATCCAACAATGCTTAATAGTAGTATTAGTTGTCCTTGGAAGCCTAACAACCCCATCAGATTGTTTTCATAGTGACCATGACCATCATCCAAAAACCACTGCTGCCCTCTTCACCTTTGGTGATTCACTTTTTGATCCCGGAAATAACAACTATATCAACACAACAGTTGATTTTCAGGCCAACTTTCCCCCATACGGAGAATCTTTCTTCAAGTATCCATCAGGGGCGTTTTCTGATGGCCGTGTTATCCCGGATTTTATCGGTACAAGCATGCACTCAATCACGTCCTTAATTTTCATATATGTTCTTATATAACAGGCTATATTACTTTGTTGTAATGACTATTTTGCAGCTCAATATGCAAACCTTCCATTCCTTCAACCCTATCTCCAAATTGGTTCCCAATATCAGTTGGCTTACGGACCAACTTTGCATCTGGTGGAGCTGGTGCTCTAGCTGAAACCTTTGCCGGATTTGTATGTAATTAACTTATGTAGTTTAATCATGTAGCACTAACACTGATGATAGAATTAATATTCTCAATCAATATAGGCTATTAATCTCGAATCATTTCTCAGGTGATCGCTTAAAAAGCAGCTGTGGTATTTTAACGAGGCTGAGAAAAAGTTGAGGTCGAATCTCGGTAACAGAAGAGCAGAACGAGTTGTGTCGAATGCTGTATACTTGTTCTGCATAGGCAGTAATGATTACTCGACCGATTCTACGAATTCCAGCATATTTAAGTCGTCTACCCCAGAAGGTTATGTAGCCATGGTGGTTGGCAATATTACAACTGTTTTTAAGGTAAAACAGACATATTAAACCTGTAAATTTAACTTTTACTGCTAGATCTAAACATAAATTAGCTGTAGAGCGATCACTATAAATATCTTTATTGTACATGAATAACAAGAAATACTGTTACCATATTAAGCCTAACCTAATAAATTGAAGAAATTTTCATACTATCGTTGGGCAGTTTCTTTGCCATAAAGTTTAGTTTTTGGTAGTTTTCTTGTTAAGTAGTTTTGAGTACTCTATCAGCTATAGTAATTTTTATTGTTTACCAAGCTATGTGATATATAAAATCAGGAATCCTCTCTCTCTCTCTCTCTCTCTCTCTCTCTCTCTCTCCTCTCTCGCACATATATATATATATATATATATATATATATATCATATGAGTGTGTGAAATTGATCTCCCCACACCAACACTACTACTACTTGTGGATCTTTGGAAACTCTCTGATCAATACCATGCATAACAGGAAATATACAAGAAAGGTGGGAGAAAATTTGCCACTTATGAATGTTCCGGCTATAGGTTGTATTCCAGCCTTTAGAGCTCTTAACGTGGCTGCTGGAGGAAATGGAGAGTGTGAAGAAGAGTATGTAGCTTTGCCCAAGTTGCACAACGCCTTGCTTTCCCGGAACTTGAGCAGCTGCAGAAGCAGCTCAAAGGTTTCAAGTATTCTATTTTGACTTCTTCACCGTTCTCAATGAAATAATTGACAATCCATCAAAATTTGGTAAATGCATCTAACTTACTCCAGCTATAGTTAACTTTTGCTCCTATATATCGCAAATTTTATCTCGATCTGATCAATGAAATTACTCAAAAAAAGATTGTAGAGTCTATTAATTTCACATGCAATTCAAATAAGATCATGAAATCTTCATTTGCTCCAATTGATGGTATCAAATTGCGACAAAAACCAACTGCTGGGCTCTTGTTGGGTAATTGATCGCGACCAAGATAAAATTTCTCATGCTTCTAAATGTACGTGTGCTACCTTTTTAAGACAATTCTAATAAGCATGCACGCATGGTGGAGTAACTAATTACTCTTTGTTTTTGCCTTTTGATTTGATAAAAAAAAATAAAAAAAAAGGTTTGGAGGAAGCCAAGACTGGATGCTGTGGAGGCGGTCCTTACAGAGGAGATCATAGCTGTGGAGGGAAGACGGCAATAAAAAAGTACGACTTATGCGATAATCCCCAAGACTATCTGTTCTTTGACTCCACTCATCCGACCCAAGCGGCCAACGAGCAGTTCGCGAAGCTCATGTGGTCCGGATCCACCAACCTTACAGGGCCTTACAATATCAAGTCACTTTTTCAGCTTTCTTATTGAAGTTTATGATTCTTAATGTCTGTTTTTTCACTTTAAGAATAACAAAAAGCACATGTTCTATTTGTTCTTTTGCCAAAAAGTGTGTATACATGTGTTTGTTTCATCATATTGTTTCACAAATAGTTTGAAATAAGCGTGTTTGACTAGATGAAACTTTTGTTTCCTTTTTTTTTTTGCAATACAAAATTCATTATGTTTTCCTTTTTTTCTTTGCATTTTTCTCATAATTAAAAACGCTAGTGAATCATCAAAACCTTAGTATCGTACAAGAGCATATCATATGCTATGGTATGATTCCAAAGAAGTCCCTATAACAAATCAGATATAAGGTAGTCAACAGCAATGATGTAATGATGGATTCTATAATTAGTATAAACCAGACTAGATGTGCCGCTGTTCCAGGTAGCTCCCCCAAAACAAAAAAAAAAAAAAAAAAAAAAAAAAAAAAAGAGAGATTGTGACAAAAGCAAGTGAAAATGATAAGATTCAGCCTTTACAGGTAATAATTTTGGGTTCAATTCTAACAATTATGTTAGACTGTATTAATTAGGTTTATAAATTCTTAAAGAATCATTTCTATTGAACCCTTGAAAGCAAAAAGAATCCACTAGACCGGATTACTGCAACAACAGGGGCAGCTATACATCTAGTGAAAATAAACAACAACATGGAGTTTCAAGCAAGAAAGTTCCGGAATTCTTGTTCACTGCAGAGAGCAGTATAACAATATGTTAACCTTAGGCCTAAAGTGTTATTTACAAAGAGTGTATATGAATAGTAAAAGTATTCTAAATAATATTATGTTTGCATTACAAACATGATTTCAATCAATCACCTTTTCATCTCACATACATTATATTATAAAAAATGCTATAGTAATTATTTTAATAATGTTTCAAATAATTTCCTATCCACGTACAGAGCTAACTACGTATGGTCTAACAGGATTCTATCAAAATATGCACAACATGTTAATTGTTTCTTTTTCTGATAAAAAAAATCTGAAATTGCTTTGCACGTGGACCAAACAATATCGATGCACTGCAAGCGGCTCCTTCCACTCTGGCAAGGTTTTATTGCATTTATCCCCCTGTGGCGATCTGAAATGATGCATATATTTTCAACTTCTCGACACATGTGGTGGCATAATTGGGACATAAACCAAGACCAACTCCAATTGGTCTCCTCATCAACAAGTGCGAAAGCAAGCGAAAATTGACATTGCTAGCATCAAATCCAACTGCTACTAATAACTTTGACTTGTATGTCCCTTTCATGAATGTGCCATCAACACAAATAACTGGTTTCAGGTGTCGAAATGCCTCGATAACGAGTCCAAATGCCCAAAACACATGGTGAAAAACTGTACATCCAACAGTACTTTGTAGATGATGCTGCCATACCACAACTGTATCCGGATTAGCCAGTACCAACTCTTGCATGACAATTGGTAGTTGTGCTATTGAAGTGGGCCAATCACCGTATACGATGTCAATCGCACGACGCCTTGCATACCAAGCCTTTTTGTACGAGACATCTGTATCAAAAGCACGCTTAATGGTTGTTTGAATTTCCTTAATGGCATAAAGTGGCCCATTCTCAACATGATGTATGATATAATCCGCAATTAGTTCAGAAGTCAATTGTCGGTGATCATTGCTGTTATCTTTACTATTATTATTTACATTTACTATCATTTAATATACGGAGTACTTTTTATCCTATTACTATTACTTTTTTTACTTTCATTATTTACTACATTTACTATTTACTATTCACCTTTTTTTTACTATTTACTTTTATTATTATTATTTATTACTATTACTATTACTATTTAGTATTTACTTTTTTACCTACTTGTATTATTTACTTTTAATAGAAATTTTGACCATTCTAAACAAGAACGTATTAAATATAATTATTATTGACTACTTGTACTAAATAGAAACATTATAATATAAAAATTTGTAAATCCTAAACATGAATGCTAATTATTAATATAGTATTACTAATTTAGCTAATTTAAATACTAATCAAATGTACTCAACTCATAGTACGTAATCAACTAACTAACAAATTACTATTAACTACATATAACAAATAGATTGAATGTAATTCCACGTAACAAACTGATTAAATGTACTAGTTACCTCTTAGCAAACTAATGTGATGGCCGTCCACCAAGTCAACACTGAGCGAAGGTTGTTTTTGATCGGTACAGGAAATCAATGAGCACAACCATCTACGGCTTCCTTTTTCCAGTTATGGCAAACCATAAACCAACAATCCATTGCACAATGTGAAAGCACAAATGCAGGACCACAATACCAGCAGTTCTTCGATAGAAAATCTAAAGACACAATTGCTGCGACACAATGGAAATGAACAAATGCAGGACCACAGTTGCAAGAGTTCTTCGATACAAAACCCCAGTAATAGAACGAAGAAATTGGGGAGACTCACAAAGAAAGAAGTTGGAGAGATAAGGATGCAAACGGGGATCTGGTCGGTCATGTATTTGTAGCCAGACATTTTGCATCGATGTTGCCGACTATATCCACCCGTCGATCAATATTTGATCATCGGCCAAAAAAATATTGCTAAAAATAACTGTCGGTGGCTGGATTTTAATAAAAAAATTAACTTAGCATCGTTGATCCACTTTTTATCAACGGTAAGAAGAATTATTGTCAAAAGCCGCATTGCGGCGTATGAATTTTTTTCCTAATAAAAGGTTTGCACCGTTGATCAACTTGATCAACGGTGTAAAGCCTTTTGGAAACAATTTTCAAACGCCGCATCCATGCTATACTTGAGCACCGTTGATCAACGGTGATGAACTATAGCTGCAGGTCACTGCAATGCGGTGTTTTTTTTTTTTTTTTGTTAAAAAACATTCTAGTAATTGTGGTGACTTTTTTTTATTAAAAAAATTTCTACTATGCTTTGGATTGCCAGTTTAAAAAAATATTTTTTTTGATAAGGAAAAAATATTATTGGTCTTTATGCATGCGGCTATTAAAAAGTTTAAAAAAAAAAACGGTCGCCGCATGCAAAAGTGCATGCGGCTATGAAGAAAAGGGATAGCCGCGCATAAGGCTAAGCATATTAAAAAAAAAAAAAAAAAAAGCAAAACAAAAATTTCCGTTTCAATCGCAAAAGAAAAAGGGAAAAGAAATTTGGTTTTTTCAAATGCCGACAATGACATTTGCAGCGACCCCTCAACCATCCCACACCAACCCACAACACTACTTTTCGGACTTTTTTCTTGAATCGCATTATTTTGGGAAATTTGCCGTATTTATAGTAGGATATAATCTGCTTCGACTGTCCCTTCGGCGACACCCGATAATCTGCTTCCACTGTGTAGGATATTGTCTTGGCAGGCCCTTAGCGGGGCATTTACGTATAAATAATTAGTTCAGTTAGAGTTGTCGGAACATTATAACCTGGGAAAATAGAATAGGGAAAGGAGGTCTAGGTTAGGTATTTGCATTTTAAAGTCAGGATACAGCTCAAAACTTGGAAAATAGACTTTTGTACCGAAAAATCTCCATTAGATGCTGTAATGTTGGAGCTGGATCGTCCGCCTTTCTGAAGGTGCCGCTGCTCCGGGTAGCCCAAAAAAAAAAAAATTGTGAAAAAAGCAAGTGAAAATGATAAGATCCAGCCTTTACAGGTCAATAATTTTGGGTTCAATTCTAACAATTATGTTAGACTGTATTAATTAGGTTTATAAATTCTCAAAGAATCATTTCTATTGAACCCTTGAAAGCAAAAAGAATCCACTAGATCGGATTACTGCAACAGCAGGGGCAGCTATGCTTGCACAGAAGATTAGAACTGAAGGTTGCATTCCCTTGAATTATCATTACTTTGGAAGGGCAAATTTTTCTGGCCTAACATGAGATTGATGAGCAATTCTATGTGTTAGCTTATCCCTTTCCAAAATTCTATTCTTGGGCTGAAATTATGTACTTCTCGCTTTAAGAATTTGAATAGTTTAATCTACAAATTGCTAACTCTAAAAGCAAGTAAATGTTGGAAACTAAAAATTATATTCTTTAGGGGCCGATTTCTGTTAATAAATCTTCGAGGTTTCACCAGTTAAATATTCCAAATTGCTTGAGACTAGGGTAATTGCTGTTTAGACTTTAGTGCAGGATAGAACTATACGTCCGTGGCAACCATTCAGAAAAAGAGGGGAAAAAAAGAGTGATATACAGAAATGAATCAATTTGAATTTTAGTGGGATCAGGAACAAGTAATACTGTAATGCTTCTTGTTTTAATCTTCAGTGCTAGGCCCATCTGTAGAGAGTTGGATGTGGGGTTTGAGTCATGAAGATATTGAACCACTACGATTTGCTCAAAAGTAAACGCTAAAGACTTTGTCAAAATATTGAACCACTATGATTTGTCGAACCACGGACAGGAACGGTTGCTGGCAGTTTTATGCATTTTGCACACGACGTAATTTTATTTACACAACGTTTAACTTTAGAACAAATTTTTGTGGATCCCACATACGTTGTTAAAAACGAGGTACAAGAAGTGATATGAACCGTACAATTTTTTTGGGCCGAATCCTGGTCTTTAACTGTTCAGAAACGATCCTTCTGATGACCGTCCCTGTCCCGTCTCCATGATTTATCATATCTGACAAGACATGCACATATTTATAGGTGTACAACGATTCATTTGGATGGAAGATATGTTAGAATTTATCTTTATTTGTGTTAATTTTCAAGTATGTTATATCTATTAGTTTCAGATTTATATGTATCTTTGTCATGATTGATTTGTATGCATTTCTGTCTTTAATTTAGATTCAAAGAAAGGTTAATAGCTATGGGTTCAAATCCTGTCCCCGCCCTCTAGTTCTCCCCTTGAAGCCTAAAAATATAAAAGGCTGTTTGGGTACAATTGGCTAGGTAATTGTCAAAATTGTAGTATTTGACATCGCAGCAGAGTATTTTAAATCATGATTATTGTAATCAGACTATGGAAGCCAACTATGGTTATTGGTTTTGAGATTTTTTCCCTACGGTAGATTTTCCTTCTTGCATGTGCATAAACCTATGCTTTGATCTCCGGTAAGAGAATGCTGGATAAGGTAAAATTTTAATAGAACCAAAACTTCGTAAAATCTGTTGCATGTTATATGAATAAGTTGCATGAGTTTGACCCAAAAGTGCTTTTTTTTTTTTTTTTGCTCAAAAGTTGATTGTGAAGATATTACTGGTCCAGAATGAATGTCCAGTGGAGCCTTATAAGCGAATCGTTCTTGGAGCTGGAGGATACCGATTGCATTTAGCATACAAAATTGATGATATGACTAGAGAAATGAGTAGGTCAAAAGCTATATTTTAAAACTCGGACAGTGACATAGTTAAATTCAAGGCTAGAAATCAATGGATTCGATCGAAATTGGACCAATTTAAGAACCGGGTATCATCATTATTATATCATAAATATGTATTATATAAAGGGATAATTTCAGAAACCTCCCTTGAGGTTTCTGACAGTTTCACTCCCTCCCCTGTGGTCTCTGAAATTCCACAAACCTCCCTAAAACTAAATAGGCAAGGCCAAAATAGACCCAATTTAAAAATACAAACAATAAAAAATTAGTAGCTGGAGAGAGAAACAAGTGTATACCATAAATGCCCTCATTATCTTGGGTTAGAGAGCTAATCAATTGTGAAGAAAAAGGAGGGAATTTAGAAGAATGAAACTTGAGGGGGTGTAAGTGAGACCAATCAACAGACAAGCACACAACGTCAGTAGTGAACAAAATGAAAGGCAACGACTCTTTCTGCAGCCAGTTCTAACGTCTATATGCAACGGCCAATTTAGAAGGCTATTTATCAGAGTAAAATGCAGCAGCAAGAGACGCAACTGAAGTGCAACAAGTGTTAATTTGTGAGGTGCAACTGAAGTGCTTGGTGTTAGGTGAATTGCAGCAGCAACAAACACACGCACAAATGGCCAGTTCAAGCAGAAGAGGTGAATTCCAGAATTTTGACGGACAGTTATTCAAGTCAGTGCTCTGTTTCTTTATAGGCATAGTTTCCTCTTCATGTATTGCTGCCAATAATTTTGCAATGCCTAATGGATTTTTGCATACATGCATTCAGGGAATCCATTCTGATTTTTACGTCCCTGAACTAACACCTCTTTTGGTGGCTTCTTCCCTGCTCATGGTCATGAACGATTCTCCACAGCCACACTACCCTTTAGAATTTGGATTGATAAATATGAACTCTGACCTGATCATACCAAACAAAGATGTTTGAGATTTTAGCAGGCAGCACAAAAAGGTTAACTGTTCCACTATACATGAGGAAATGAGAAATAACATCACCCCGCCATGGAACAAAGTTAACTTCGAGGCTAACCTCTAAATCATAGTCATTATCTGAAGTTGGAGTAGTTCAAAGGAAGATAACATCACATTTCAAGAAACAATGCTACAATGAAAAGTATAGAGCAAATTTGTGTTATAACTGCAGAGATGCTTCTAAAATTGAGTTAAGCATTAATAGAAAAGAATTTCATACCTCAGTTTGTCATCGACAAAGTCCATCTTGGTTCCTATGACATGCATGAGAGCCTTCGGATCAACCAATATCTTAACACCCTTGTCCTCAACCAACTCATCAAACTTCTCTTTTTCATCTATACATTTAAGAAATTTGCGCATCAGGCAAATAACTATCAACCAAATTATGGAAACAAAACAAAGGGAATGCCCATTGTCTTCTGGTTACATTGAATCCTACAACATCATTTATTATCTCCAACAGTTATTGCAGTGCACCAACTCTCATCAGGTGGGATTCCCGCAACACAGGCAAATCAATGAAAGAACACAAAGTACATGGATAAACAAAAGTCCAGCAATGTCGTTGAACAATCCTTCCTGTTCATTTTCTTTTTATTTCCAAATTTTGGACAGGGGAATGGCGGTAAAGAAAAATAGTGAAAGTGGTGGGAAATTGGAAAGCGTGAGAAACGAACTGTTGTATGATGAGGACAAAAGACCCTTAACCATCCAAGTTTCTACTCAGATTGTGATTCCAAGCACTCACCTTAAGTTCATTAAATGCACGGAACAATATAATATCTAGCCAAATAACCTAGGTTTGACTAGGGTTAAAATTTTCAAGATACAGGCAATTCGAAAATGTCACCAGCCTAAGGAGTCAACAAAAGAATCATCTTCTGGATTTAATCGCCGTAAAATAAATTAACCAATAAAAATCTTCATATTCGAACCTTTCAGTTAACGTTTTCACTAAAAGGGCAAAGGATAGAACCAGGCCAAGTAGAGCCCACTAGCAGAAATCCCTATTGTTGTAAGCTTCAAACAGAAATACTGATAAAAAAAAAGACCTTAACCTATCCATTCCAGTCTACTCGCATAAAGGGAAAAAAGTTTTTGTTCTAAATCTACGACAGATGAAGCCAGAACAAATAACTCTACCAGAGATTTTGGGAGGAAATTTAACAAACTTA